CTACTACGTGACTGATTTCCAAAAGAAATCAAAATATATTAGTGTTCACTTTCTAAAGAGAGGACTATTTTCCAACTTCATTTCTTGAAAATAGTGAGTGATGTTTTGCATGATTCAAATGATATGGATTAAAATGATACCTACTTTCATGTTGGAATAAGTGTTGTTAAATAGTAACTTTATTTTATACAAAAACTTGTAAAAAAGACTTTTAAACTTTTAAAAGAAAGTACTGCTGTAATATTATGAATGAGTATTATGAAAATTATGAAACTTGTGTTCTGTAATTACATTTTATTGAAAACTTGTGCACAGTTCAAGGTTTGCTTATGGAATTTCATTTATCCTTCTGTTTCACACAGGCAATAATCTGGTAGATGATGAGCTCCTCCAAATGGCAGCCCAAGACGAAGACAAAGTGTTTGTGCGGTTCCGCTCCAAGGTGGCTAAGTTCCCACAGCAGGTGCTGCGTTACGAGAGAGGTGGGCGACCCCTCTGGCTCACCTCGGACAACATACCTGCCACCAATGACATTCCCCCTTGCCCTTACTGCAAGGCACCTCGTCAGTTCGAGCTTCAAGTGAGTTTCACCTGAAGCGATGTAAACAATTCATGACTAAATTTGGTAACTGCCTTGTCACGAGTATTTTTTCTGCTCCCTCCTTTTCTTGCTCTTTGTTGCTCCTCTTCTTCTTTCACCTCCTCTTGCTCTTCGTTTTCCTAGTTTGCTTATGTATTATCTTTTCATCCTCTCCTATTATTTCTATCTTGCTCTTCAGCTAGTCTTTTAAAATAGACAAGTTATTAAAAATATTTTCATATGGGTTTATCCGTAAATTACATATTAAAAATAGTACAGATTGGTGGCAATGTATCATTGTGATTTCGTCACAATCTATGAGGAACTCGTGTATCACTCTGTCATTAGTAGAATGATCCATAAGCATGGGGAAATGTCTTTTGAGTTTCAGTCTGACTTGTCTCTTAAGCCGGGGTTTGGTACAGAGGTCCCATCTCTTTGTTCCTCTCTTCGCAGCATATCACTGTTCATCACTGTACTCTATGGTTGCGCTCTTAAGAAATCTCGAACACACAACTCATGTGCATGGAGGAAGGGCCACTAGCACCTCTGCTGCTAAATATTTCCAGTCAACAATGCTTCTATTCACAAACCGGAATTTTCCTAATGGTGTTCTTTGCTTTCTGCATTTTATTTTGTGTGAATGGTCACCCCTACTTAAGTAGCATGGCATTTCAAGTCTTTCACCAATAGCTTTCTGTTGTGGTTGCTTTGTGTACCCTTGAAGAGGGCACTTACTCGTGCCACCTTTTTGTGTATAACTAATGATTCCCAGCTGTCATTTTCTTTTTTGTTTCTATTCACGAAATTAGCCTCTGTTTTCTGCACACTTTTTAATGCTGTAACTTAACCTTCTCTCTGAGGATCTCAGCAAGCTACTCAGGATTCTGAAATGGGACAAACCAGATATGCAAAACTGCATTCTTGTTAGCTTTTCATAATATATACATAACAAAATGAAGAGCTTTCCAAGTCTTCCATGTAATATATCTTACGTGATCAGCCTATTTGAGGTCACTTCGAATTATTACACCCAGGTATTTACAACTACGTGTCTCAGGGATTTTATTTCCCATTGTAATGTGGAGTGTTTCCTGTGTTCGTTGTTTTGTAAAGCTGTTTGTTTTGCTTTTATCTGTATTAATTTTCATTGTATTTTCTTGGGACCATTTTATCAATTCAGCAATATCTTTCTGCAACTGATTAACATCATCAATCTCTAATTTTTCGGTATATGATGCAGCCATCCGCGAATTTGATTGTCAATCGAATTTCTGATATCATTAAAATGCATAAGAAAAGGAAGCAATTCTAATACACTTACCTAAGGAACACTGGATATTGCATAAACCTTCTCACGTCGTTTCCTATGTTTGAGGCTTCATGAACTTAATTGTTTCACTTTTATCTGGATTATCTGTTGCAGGTGATGCCTCAGATGCTGAACTACCTGGCACTGGATGGTGTGAGCAAGAGTGTGGACTGGGGCGTGTTGGCTGTGTACACCTGTCAGAACAGCTGCAACACAGGTCCTGCTTACAAACAGGAGTTCCTCTGGAAGCAGGACATCCACAAGCCAACCACCGACGGTAATTGCAACAATACCAAACCTGCCACCACTACCACCACTACTACTGCAGCAGCAACACACGCAGCTGCAACAAAACTCTCATCAGCAACGGACAACTGACGCAACGCACCTCCTTCGTGTTTTTACTCCACGAAGGTTTACAGCGACTACAATATTAACATAGCGCTTGCCCGACTGCGGCGACTCTCGATATAAGATAGTCACTTATTTGGTGTCTTTCTGCAATGCATTTTTGTTGGATTATCAATGTTTGGTAACACATGATTCATGGTGTACTTGGTTTTATTGGATATACATATTGTTGTAATATCCATTTTTGAGTTTTTATCTTTCTTTGATGGACATGTAAGAGTTGTAACTTTTAAGTCACTATTAATGAAAAAGTTAATTGGTAACTTGTTTATTTCTTATTTATTCTGTATAGAGTGAGTTCATTATTTGTGGATTAGATTTTTCCTTTTTAATTTTGGAGTTAAAATTTTATGATTTGAAGGAGTGTTTTCTTTGTGTTTTAGTTCTTACGTTTGTATTTGCATAGGTGTACATAATTATCTTCAAACTCTTCCTGTATCTTTGAAGATTTGTGGGATTTTTTTAATACTTATTCTAAACAAAAGCAATATGCTATTGACCAATTGTATCTAAATTATCATGTGATTTATTGCTTCAAATCCTTATACATTTGAGATATGTCCAAGTATATTGATAAACTGCTTGTCTCCTAATGATTACAGAAAAATGTCAGCATGATAGAAGGTTGTGATCACGAAATATTAAAAACATTGTATTCATCTGTAATATGTAAATAAAACATAGTAGTTAGTATTTGAAGAACCATGTTCTTTTATTACAGCAGAAGTCTCGTGTAATTTTTCCTCCTGAAGAGTGTTGAAAGAAATAATGAGTTGTAAAATTATTTCTTTAACATCAAATATGAATTAATTTTTGTTTGTTATTGGAAGGCTACATTTATTCAATGTGTTATTTCACTGCATTGAAGGTGTAAAAACTGTATGGAGGAATGAATATACTTTTGAGATACTTCCAAGAAGATGGTCTCATGATCATATTTCACACCCATTTTTCGACATGGGCTTCTTTTGAGGCCCTCCCCGGGCAAGAAACTATAGGATGACAGGCCCAAAGCAAGTTGAATAAATATTTGTAATTTGGTTAAAATGTGCTTCCCTGACCATACATCACCTTCTTGCCA